AGGCATGATGAGAACTTTGCGCTGGTAGTGCACTGAATGAAGACTAGCCTGAGTGAACATTGTAAGAACCATGGCTAGCTGATGCACCACAATGAGTTGGACGACCCGTCTGAGCGTGTCTGTAAGAACGACCCCTACCACGGTGAAAATGACCCCCTGAAGGAACAACTGTAATCACCCGGACCACGAGGCCTCTTAGCCTCTCTCTCTCTCCACGTTCCTGGCTATGAACCATCTCTATCTGCCGAGCAATGTCCACTACCTCATCAAAAGTAGCACCAGATACTCTCTCCCTAGTCATAAGTAACCGCAACTGATATGTGAGGCCATCAGTGAATCTCCTAATCCTCTCCCTATTAATGGGAACCAACCAGATTGCGCGACGAGCCAATATTAAGTTAAGAAGTACGCGACCTCTGTGGGTCCCAACAGTACAATCATATAGCCTAAGCATGATTTCTAACATGATTTACATTCAAATTTTATCAACACATAGAGAGCATATAGCTAACAATAAAATATTCAACTTTACAGTTTCCCGGGACAGACCAAGTCACAATCCCCTCGGTGCACGCCCACACGCCCGTCACCTAGCATGTGCGTCACTTCCAAAATAATCACATGATACCAAAATCCGGGGTTTAATATCCTCAGGACCAGATTTAAAACTTTTACTTACTTCAACCCGTGAAATTCTATTTCTGCAATGTCCTTTCCTCGTGAATTGGTCTCCAAACGCCTCGAATCTGGTCATAAATAATTCGTTTCAGTCAATAAAATTCATTGAAATTAATTCCACAACAAAATAATGATTTTCCATAAAAATCTGAAAATTAGCTCAAATATCGCCCGTGGGGCCCACGTCTTGGAACTCGACAAAAGTTACAAAATCCGGAAACCCATTCAACCAAGAGTCTAACCATACCAATTTTACCAAAATCCGACCCCAACTCGACCCTCAAATCTTCAATTTAAACCAATACGGTTTTTAAATTTTTCCAACTCAATTCACCAATTAAATGATAAAAACAATCATGGATTCGGGTAATTTAACCAATATTGAGTTAAGAACACTTACCCAGTTGTTTTCTCTGAAAATCACCAGAAATCGCCTCAAATCCGAGCTCCAAATCGTCAAAAACTGAAAATGGGGAAGTCCTATTTTCAGAACTTAAATTCACTGCCCAGGCTTTTCTTCTTCGCGAACGCGGTCAGTGCCTCGCGTTCGCGAAGCACAAAATATCTCCCGTCCAAATTCCTCCTTCGCGAACGCGACATCACCCTCGCATTCGCGAAGCACAAAATGCCTCTGCCTCAATGGCTTCTACGCGAACGCGTTCAACCCATCGCGAACGCGATGCTTCGTTCCCCCTCACTACGCGAATACGATACCCCCTACGCAAATGCGTAGACCAATTGCCTGGGGTCCTCATCTGCTTCCTCTCTTCTTCGCGAACGCGTAAGATCTCTCGCGTTCGCGATGCACACCCAGTCCACCCTTAGCGAACGCGTGCTTCTCTTCGCGAACGCGAAGAGAAAATATTGCCAGCCTCTTAGTTCCTCTTCGCGAACGCGAGGCTCCATTCACGAACGCGAGGAAGGAAACCAGATGGTGCATCAAAAAAATTCCAGCAGAGTTCCAAGTCCAAAATCCAACCCGTTAACCATCCGAAACTCACCCGAGCCCCTCGGGATCTCGATCAAATATACCAACAAGTCCTAAAATATCATACGGACTTAGTCGAATCCTCAAATCATCTCAAATAACGCTAAAACTATGAATTACACCCCAATTCAAGCCTAATGAACTTTGAAATTTTTAATTTCTACAAACGACTCCGGAACCTATCAAATCACGTCCGATTGACCTCAAATTTTGTACACAAGTCATAAATGACATAACATCGGTATTTCAATTTTTAGAATCGGATTCCGATCCCGATATCAAAAAGTCAACCCCCCGGTCAAACTTTTCAAAAATTAAACTTTCGGCATTTCAAGCCTAATTCCTCTTCGGATTTCCAAATAATATTCCGGACACGCTCCTAAGCCCAAAACTACCATACAGAGCTATTGGAATTATCAAAATTCAAATATGAGGTCGTTTACACATAGGTCCATATCCGGTTCACTTTTCTAACTTAAAATTTTTAATTATGAGACTAAGTGTCTCATTTCACTCCGAGTTCCTTTCGGACCCGAACCAACTAACCCGATAATTCATAAATCAATTGCAAGACATAAATTGAGCAGTAAATGGGGGAACAGGGTTATAATATTCAAAACGATCAGCCGGATCGTTACAATAATTAGATTTAAATGACTTCAATTAGCTGTGGAAAGATAATGTTTTGGTCGTTTTCGTCTATATAAGGTCAACTCTTGGGAAGGGTAGCAAAATTACCAATTCTCCTAAAATTCTGCCACTTTACCTTATTCTTTAGTGGGGTAGTTTCCATATTAAGGTATTTTTTAAATTCTTTAATTTGGACTTACTTTTATCAATCTGCAATGATATCTTTTTCTCTCGTGAAAAGAAAAAAGCTAATAAAAATAAAAAGGCACAATAAATTTAGGCTTAAATTCGTTAACTATAAGAGCTCCAGTTCCTTTTGTTAATAACAAGAACGATTGTTATCAATTACTAAAAAGTAATTGAAAGGAAAAAAAACGAAGATGTACTGTTTTACTTATTATCAATTACGATACAAATAAGTAACAACAATAACATACCCAGTGTAGTCCCACAAGTAGGGTTTGGGAAGGTTAAAGTGTATGCAGTCCTTACTCCTACCTTTAAGAAGACAGAGAACATATTTTCGATAGACCCTTGGCTCAGCAAAGATAAATGGAAGGGAAATAACAAGCAAACCAAATTTGACAACCTAAACGAAAATACTTATCAATTACCATACACATTAATATAAAAAATGTTCCAACTTTCTTAATGAATTATATGTTTATGAATGATGATTGATGAGATATCTTCTAGAGTCACTTAGATTTATTAGTTTATTAGTAAATTCTTTATCAAAAAATAGAATCCAAACAATACATCCTTTTCAGGTACGTTTTCAACCTTTTTTAGGTTCAATTTATGTTTCAAAGAAACTCTTGCTACAATCAACCGTAGCTAGTTTTATTTTATTTTTTCTTAAACGAAGAAATTTTATTTTGTTTCACAAATCACTATCCACGACTTTTTCAGGATTCTTCAGGATTTATCTTTACAGCAAGAATCCTATTTTGTACTGAACTGGATTTTAGTATTAAATATATGAACATGTCTATTCAAGGAAAAAAAAAAAGAAAAAAAATCAACCACGAGATAACTCAATCATGTCCTAGAAGTTATCATATACATGGGCGGAGCTAGCTCAGATACGGGTTCGGACCGAATAACTTTTGCTCAAACAATATATTTGTATTGAGAAATTTTATTAAAAATGCACATATATTTAATTTAGAACCTGGTTATTAATATTTAAAATTATCATTTCAAAATTTAAAACTCATAAAGTTATAATTCATATACTAAGCTGGTAACAATAGACACTACACTTCTTTTTTAGAAACTACACTTAATCTTTGCAAAAAGGCCGAGAAAGGTATAATAAGTCGTGAAAGTAACTAGGAGATTATTATAATATTTTTAGAAGACATTTCATTTTTAATAGGAAATCTCTTTCACAACCTAGTTATTTACATTTAGCAACTTTAGCTGACTATTGAATATAAACAAATTATTTACTATCATGAGCAGGTGTACATTTGCTGACCAGACGTAAGAATCAGTCGATTAAAAACTTTAACTCTTACTTAATGACAGTAAGGAAAGATGAATATTTTTCAAATTTTCCCAAGAAATTCAAAAAAAAAAAAACAAATTCCACAGGATTTTATTTCTCAATTTTCATATACACACAGAGAGGTAAGAATCCAGTTGAGGACTTTTCAGCTTTATTAAAAAGAATTTGAATTTCTAATTTTATTAATTAAGAACAATTTTGTTCCAAATTTTATAGTTTGTGGCCGCCAAAATTCAATTTGAAGCGATCAGCCCCAGGTAGATGAAGTAATTTTTATGAGATGTTAACCGAATTGATTTCATATTTTACAGCCGAACTAACAATGGGGTCGTACATTTCAAAACCACCAATTAGGAATTTTGCTTCCTAGGTAAAATGCCAAAAAATAGGATCTCTACAAACTCGAGAAGAATAAGAACATTGTAAGTTTATACTGTTACACGTTACATGTACTTTAGATTATGCGTCTTTTATTTTATTGTTATTGCTATTTTGAAATATCAAAAATTGAAAATTTTAGGACCTAATATGTTTTTTTTTTAAAAGAGAGAGAATTGTGGGAGTATATAAGTCAAATCTGTAATAATAACTCACGATATTTGGAGAAATATAATTCATATATATGAGACTAGTCATTATTGAATTTGTGACCTTTTGGTATGGCATAACCTTGCCATTCAAGGCAGGTCTCACTGAATTGGCATATAATAGTATTTTTAGTTTCCTAATATTTATCTCCTAATGACAAAATTAACTATTCTTAATTCAAGTCCAAAGATTATTTAATTGCTTCTTTATCGATGAAAATAATTACAATCATTACAATAACAACAATTTTTGTGTCCAGCAAGTTAATTTCGGTTATATAAATTCTCACTCACCATGTTACTTTATTTAAACACACCTCATTCTAATAGTATTAAATCATAAAAGATAAAAATAAAAATAAAAATTAAAAGATGAAGTAGCAATAAACTATGGAAACAAAAGTATCACGGAACTGAGTTTTATAAAAACATTTTACTCTTACTTTGTTGCGTTTGACCATGGTGCCGTTTCACAACATTCACTTTTATTTTATTTTTATATAACATTCACATTATCAAGAATAATAAAACAAAATATGGCACTTGTTTTTAGCCTATTATGATTAGATCCTTGTTTATATATAAAGAGCAACTAACTCACTTCTCTAAAACCAGCTCAAGAAACTAAGTAAAAGAAAAAAATGGCCATGGCCTCCCCTTGCCTCAATACATGCACAGTACAACAACCTCGAGCAATACTTAGTAGAATCCACATATTATTACACTTTTCAGCCATATTAGGGTTACTTTACTATAGAATAAAACACTTATTCCAAAAAGACGTATCAATTATATCATGGAGTCTTATAACAATTGCAGAGCTTATTTTCACTTTCATATGGTTAATTACACAATCTTTCCGTTGGCTTCCGGTTGCTCGGTCCGTCGTGCCGGAAAATCTTCCGGCCGATAAAGAATTACCTAGTGTTGACGTGTTTATATGTACAGCTGATCCTATTAAAGAACCAGTTGTTGAGGTTATGAATACTATTTTATCAGCTATGTCACTTGATTATCCGCCGGAAAAGCTCGCCGTTTATCTTTCCGACGACGGTGGTGCCGCCGTGACGTTGTATGCTATAAAGGAAGCATGTGTTTTTGCTAGGGTTTGGGTGCCTTTTTGTAGGAAGTATGGAATAAAGACTATATGTCCAGAGGCATTTTTCTCTTCTTTTGGTGATGATGAACGTTTGAATATGCGTGGAAATGAATTCAAGAATGAAGAGGAAAATATCAAGGTAAGATTAATTAGTTATCCTTTTCGACGAAAAAAAATTGAGCCAAAATTTTTATTAAGGGATTCAAAATATAAAGAAGTAAAAATAGGAAAAAGCCAAGGGAATTCGATATCTACTATAGTTACATATACAATAATTTTAACCTTATATGTACAGTGTACTTTTTCGGCAAAGAAATTCGGAACTCCCTTTATCTCCGCCCCATTCGTAATTATCTCTTTCTTCTAATTTATTTTAATGTGATTTAGACATAAAAATACATTTATTAATGCATATTAATTAATTATTTTATTCGAGCATTGCAGCGACGATAAAAACAATGTTCTTATAAACCTTAAATATACTCGTTAGTAAAATCTCAGGGGATTAAATTTAAGAACAATATGCTAGCAACTGCCCTATATTTAAGAAATACCAAGAAAAGTATATGATCTTTGTGTTTCTCTCTCAAAGTAATGAAATTTTGAAAGAGTTGACTTACTTTCATTTGTCCGGAGTTATCCGTTTATCTGTTTATACTTATTTTTTATCTTGTCATTTTCAACATATAATTTTGTCCATGATTGAACTTCTAATTTAGAACTGGACAAATTTCGGCAGAAGAGGATGAAGGTATTAAAAGATAATTTGGACTTCACTTTTAAATATAAGATAATGGGTATTTTTCTTGTGCAGGCGGCATACGAAGTATTGAAGAAAGATGTAGAGAAAGCCAGTAGTGTTGAAGGGTCCGTCAGAATGGATCGACCTCCCTATGTTGAGGTGCGAAATATAATTCTTCATAATCGTAATTTACTAGTGTATGGTAAAAAAGTAATTATTGTTATTCTATCCGATTCAATTTAGATGACAAATATCGCTTATCGAAAGTCAAACTATGAGAAAAGTCAAATTATTATATGAAGTTTGATTAATATTTTTAAAATATATTTTTATCATATGAGAAAAGTTGCAACTTAAATTACTTTTCGTACGGTCTCTGAATATCAAAATTTTGATTTTAAAATATTGAGTTGAACTAATTCAATTTAACTTTAAAATTTAGTCAAATTAACTATCGATAAGCGAAATGTGTCATTTAATATAGAAATAGAGGGAGTATTATGCTATGATATCTAATTAATTAGTACACATCTATAGGTTTGTTGTAAGAAAATTTAGGTTAAAAAAACGTAATGGAGTTAAGATTAACAATGATAACTGATATTATGAGCTTTTTTCCCATTTAAATCATGGTACACAATGTTTTGCTTCTATGATTCTCATAATTACACTAAAATATCATATACTACTTGTCTTCATCAAGTTCACAAAATTAATTAGAACGTAATTACCAAATCAAACTTCATTGGCTACTCGAACTGAGAATAAATAAGTTTATGGGGAAAATGGAAATTATAGCTTCCTCCATCAAAGAGTTAATATTTGGCCAAATACATATACAATCCCTCTAACTTGACACGAAATTCTCTTGGCACCTCATCTTAGCCAAGTTCAAATTGAACACTTCATGTATACCTAAACTGTGTCATTTAAACCCTTAAATGATAGCCGTAAAAAAATTAGTGTGCGTGAACTTTTCACACGGTGACCTGTCAAATGTAACAAATAAGGAAACACCACATGACTTTTTAGTCAAACTAATGCCAAAAATAAGAAGAAGAAAAGCTTTTGAGCCTAAAGAAAACGAAGGAAAATTATTTTTTAAGAACCCCCTTCTTGAGTATCATCTTCTCCACCATCAACTCAGATTTTTATCCTTTCCAACATCAAAACCCTTCAACCCTTTTTCTCTACCATCTACTATTGACTCAACATCACCACTTCAAAGTTCTATTTCCAATTCGCAGACCATCTCTGTAAATTGTTGAGAAAAACGAGCACCATATGGGTCTTAGAATTTTATCATAGACCACAATGAAAATTAAGAATAAAGACAAAAGACAAATATGGTATCGCAGTTGTGCTGCAGATTTCATTAGGTGATAAATATTTTATTATTGGGGCAGGGTGTTGTACTGTTGTAAGATCATTGCAGATCATTTGAAGTATATTTGTGTGAACATAATAATAATAATAATAATAATAATAATAATAATAATAATAATAATAATAATAATAATAATAATAAAAAGCTTAGTAATTTGTCATCAAATTGCAAGTTAGCTTTTGGTCCATTTTTTGATGTCTTACAGAGGTTAAGCTCCAATTGTATATTATCTACCTGTTTTGCCAAGAATGAAATGGGACCGAGATTCTGGATTTCCTATAAAACTTTTCAAAAGTTCTCAAAATTTTCTCCGAACACAATGATCTCACAGGCTTGTTAAAAAACTTCTCTTTCGATAGCTCAACTTCCTCTTTCTTTTTCTTTTGTTAAAAAATAATGGAAGAAAACAGTGATCTGTCAAGAAGAAGAGATCGAAAATAGAAAGAAGAAGAGGCGTTGTGCAGTAAAAAACGAAAAAGCAAAAGGTAACTTTTTAAGGAGTGGGGCCCATTTTATATTTGTTAAAGTCATTTTACGCGCTAGATAAAAGTGAGAAACAAACATTGATCCATGTCAGCATAATTGTTTAATTGTACAGTTTAATGGTACTTAAAGTGTTCAATTGGAACTTGGCTAAGATGAGGTGCCTACATAGAATTTTGTGACAAGTTTGAGGGGCTATCTATGTATTTGGCCTTAATATTTTATCATGTAATGAACTGCAGGTGATACATGATAATATGAAAAACGAAGGGTGTGAAGTCAAGCAAAGCAAATTGCCTCTATTAGTTTATATGTCACGTGAAAGGCGACCATCGCGCCCTCATCGTTTCAAGGCCGGAGCTTTAAACGCTCTTGTAAGCACCAAAATTAGCGATAATATGTATATATTTTTTACATCTTTTAGTTAACAAGCATACTGAATGTGAAACTTATCACTAATTTTGGTGGTAATGACTGCAGCTTCGAGTTTCAGGGGTAATGAGCAATGCACCATATATGCTTGTGTTGGATTGTGACATGTATTGCAATGACCCTTCCTCTGCCAAGCAAGCCATGTGCTTTCATCTTGATCAAAATATATCTACTACTCTTTCTTATGTACAATTCCCTCAAACTTTTTACAACGTTAGTAAAAATGACATCTACGATGCTCAATCAAGATCCGCTTACAAGGTATACACATCCTGTTATATCGCAATTGAAAACTATATATTTCAGGTTATTTCAACTTCATAGCATCTATATTTTGGATTTAAGTTATATGCAGTTATGCACTAATAGTGTAAAGTTGTCTCCGTGTGGCGTATAGGTCACAAGTTTGAGCCGTAGAAGCAGACACTAATGCTTGCATTAGGGTAGACTGTCTATATCACACCCTTGAGGTGCAGCCCTTCCCCGGATCCTGCGTGAATATGAAATGCTTTGTGCACCGGGCTGCCCTGCCCTGCTGCGCTAATTGTATAAAGATATTTTATAATATCAATGTATCTTAACATGTGACAGTAAATTAGTTACTATTTTTAACAGATCGCCAACTAACCTTATTATAGAGATTCACTTATTAGTTATCTTATAAATAACCTGATTACATAAATATTTTTAGATAAATTATTTTTAGACCGTCCGTACATATAACTTAGCATATATTTTTTTGGTCACTCTATACAGAATAAGTATCAAGGCATGGATGGAGTAGGAGGTACTGTTTGTGCAGGCACAGGCTATTATTTGAAGAAAGAAACATTATATGATAGTCCAAATAACCAGGATATGACTCCACTATTTCTAAAAGCTCAATCTGAATACAAGTGGGAATCACTACTGTTTCAATCAGGTCTTCAACTTATTATGTTACATAGAATTATGTTTTTTTTGGGCATATAATTCTTTGAACATTAGTTAATTATATATTTGGTATTCACAGAGGAGTTACTTCAAGAGGCAGAGGAAAAGTTTGGTGCTTCTAGAAAGTTCATTAATTCGATTAACTCTTTGAATGATCAAAGAAAAGGAAGGGAGATTCTATCAAATGAGATTATAGATGAAGCTAAAACTCTAGCTTCTTGCAACTTTGAAGAAAATACAAGTTGGGGTGAAGAGGTAAGTATTCATCTTACTACATACTTCTATTTCATATCAAAAAGGCGGATTGACCTGATTTTGGGCGGGTTAAAATTGGATAAGTCAATAAATGGGCGGGTCAAATGACCCGTCAAAAAGCTACTTGAGCTGAAATGGGTTAGGTCAAGATGGGCTAAAATTTGGGTCGTAGTCCAACTCTTACCAAGCTTTAATAAATGTGTGTTGTTTTCTTATGGATTTTTAATTATCATAATTTTTTATTTATTTATTATGGTCATATATAATATATCAAATAAAAAAAAATTAGTTTTAAAATATTTTAGCAAAATTACTCGTGGATCAATTTGGGCTAAAAATCAGCCCAACTTTAGATGGGTTGAGATGAGTTGGATCAAGATAGATTGAGTTCCACAAAGGGGTATTATCACTTTTAGCCTGCGCCAGAAACTATTTACATCTAGTAGCCGAAAAAGTGTATAAAATTTGTATAATTTTTATATATAACATACAAAATGTGTATATATAAAAAAATATATAAATTTTATATATTTTTTTAGCTATTATTTTTTCAGCGGCTATACAATGTCATTTTCTCATCCACAAATGGGTGAGTTAATGACCGACCCAACCTTGAGCGGGTTGGACGAGTTAATTGGGTTTGAACTCAAACTGCCACCCCTATTATCAGTATTTGTTTACTTATGTGATCATCTTATCTAAAAGCTTATACTGTTTTATTTACAGATCGGGTACTCGTATAATAGTTTACTCGAGAGCTCGTACACGGGGTATCTATTGCATTCTAAGGGATGGAAATCTGTTTATCTTTATCCAAAGAGGCCATGTTTCCTTGGTTGTAGCACCATTGATATGAAGGATGCTTTAGTTCAACTTATGAAATGGGCTTCTGGATTAGTACAAGTTGGACTCTCAAAGTATAGTCCTCTCATTTATGGAGTGTCAAGAATGCCTTTAGTCCAAAGCATGTGTTATACATATTTTATGTTCTCACATTTTCTCTCCATTCCTTGCTTCCTTTATGGCATTGTTCCACCATTATGCTTCTTGACTGGCACTTCAGTGTTTCCCAAGGTAAAAACTTCTATCCCTTTGACTCTTGACAATTTATACTAAAGTAATTTGTTAGATTTCTCTAATCAGGTAGCAAAATTTGTATTGCCTACAAGAATTTCTTCAACTAGAATATCATTTTGTTTTTTCATTTTTCATTCGATGTCCGATATCCGCATTGGACCCTATACTAATCCAAACTCGCGCCGCGTAAGGCCGGAAAACGCTCAGGGGTGGAGCCATGATTTAAAGCTTATGGTTTCGAGATTCTAGCCCTTCTAAGTTACTAAGTTCTAAATTGATAATTTATACATATTAAATGGATTTCCTAAGACAAATATAGAGTTTGAACCAATAATACTGAGTTAGGCCGAACAAGTATCTTCAGGCTAGCTCCGCCCCTGGAAGCGCTCCGTAACAAGATTCTTTTCATACTTAGGACTCAAACACGAGACCCTAGTTAAGGATGGAGGAAACATATCTATCTCACTACAACCCTTGTTGGCTCAACTATAATATCATTAAACGTAGAATATCCCGACTTTGCTAGTCAAACAAAATGGACATATGAGTGATTAGTTTACAAGAGTTCGATCGACCGATCACTAGACCAGAAAGAAGAGAAAAAAAGGCCAATCTTCGAAAGGCCTGATGTAGTTTTCATGATAAAACACGTTGATAATAATTTGCTTGTCCATTCCAACAAGAACAGTATATAGAACTAATGTGCCATAGATCACCAACCTGACATACTAATTGAACAGGGGATGACACCAACATAATTGATCAAATTAGTGAATGTCTTCTTGGAAATATGAAAATTAGTGTACATGGCTCATTTCTATTGTCTTTTTTTCTTCTTTTCCCTCTACTTACAGGTGACAAGCCCATGGTTTGCACTATTCACAACTATATTCTCATCATCTTTGCTTGAACATCTATACGAAGTCTTGTCTAGTGGTGGCAACTTGAGGACTTGGTGGAATGAACAAAGAATTTGGATAATAAAAACAGTCACAGCTTGCTTATTTGGATGCTTAGATGTTTTAATGAAGTGGTTAGGTGTTGCAAAAGCAAATTTCAGGTTAACAAACAAAGCGATCGACGAAGAGAAACTCAGGAAATACGAGAAGGGTAAATTTGATTTCCAAGGTGCTAAGTTGTTTATGGTTCCTTTGACATTTTTGGTGATGTTTAATTTGGTGTGTTTCACCTTTGGAATGAAAAGAATGGTCTCAGAGGGGAATTTTGAAGAAATGTTTGGACAAGGTTTTCTTTCTTTTTATGTTTTAGTTCTTAGTTATCCTATATTAGAAGGATTAGTATCAAAGAAAGGCAAGTAAAAGTCCTCAATTTGTTACACCCTATAGCATTTTCTTATTAAGAATAGTTATAGAGGTGAGCTTCTGGACAATGGTGAAAGCAAATTTGTGTATAAAATCGTGTATAAATAATGCTACAATTTAATGTTGAGAAATAACACAAGTATTTGCAATGTCAAATATTTTTTTTTTTGGGACCATTTCTACGTGTCATCCTTGCGCAGGGGCCATGTGAATCTTCTCTGTATCATTCCAATTTTATCGGATGTCCCCGAAGGAACGTGTCAAATATTACGTGTTCAATTTATTACAATATTAGATACAATTAAATTCCTGTATTTGAATCTCTATTATCTAATCCCTTATAATGTCCAAATAATCCATCAATATTGCCCTTATAAAGTAATACAAAAGCTTTAACAACTTCTTAACCCTTTCATCAATAAATTTCTCCCCTTCCATTTTTATCTTTTCATTCAATTCTCTTGCTTTCACATTTACTTATTCCCTAGTCTCTCCTCCACTACCTTCCTTATACCTTTTGCCACCTTTTCTCTCTTTATTTTCCCCATTTTCACCACTCAAAATCTCCACCCCTATGCCAAGTTCCTCCACCAATTAATCTTGAATTCAATGGCTGATCATGATTCATAGGCATGGCTATTATCTGTACGCCAAAAATCATGCTTTTTAACGTCGAATTCCATTCACAATGAGTAACAAAACCTCCAATGCTTGAATGGTTCAAAACTTTACCTTGTGGCACCCATCCTTTTATAACCATCCCTTTTCCCTTTGTCCTTTCCAGAAAACCTTGTGGAGCTATTTCTTCTATAGTAGTATTCACACCTATTGGACATTCGATTGTCCAAATAAATTTGACTCCACTTAGCTCAAGCCCTTTTGCTCTCTCTTCAATTTCTTGCTTTGAGAAAAAAAAAAATTGACTTCCAAATGACACAAACACACTTGAAAATGTATCCTTCTTGTCTAGCCATGATTGAATTGTCACCATATTTCTCCTCCACCTATATTGGCCTCATGGATGAGTACGCCAATTGGTATCAACTCCTTATTTCCCAAGATAGAAACATAATCTCTATACTTTCCCTCAATATCCCTACAAGTGTTCAACAAAACAATATCATGAGATTGTTCAAAGGATTTAAGGATCACGTGTAATAACTCTATATTCTTTTAATAAAAAGAGAATTATTAAGTACCTACACCTAAGAGATTGAGCCTAGTGGGCTAAATTTATACATACACAATTAGTTAGCCTTTTAAAAGACTTTGAATAATTTACAAAGGTTAAAAGTGGGCCAGGCCTCACCATTTTATTACTGGCCACATGAGATGTCTACGGTAAAGAGTAAGAGAAATATATGTACTTGGTTTTATTTAAGAAAAGAAAAGCACACAGATGAGTGGCCTTCAGAAATTTAAGGGAATGGCAATACAGGAGAATATGGAGTATTGCTAATAGATTTATATTAGCCTTGCAATCATTATTTGAAGGGTTAAAGAATTACAAAGTGTATTACCTTTTTTGTCGAGCAGTTCAACAAGAAGCACCCTCGGCTATGTTGGAATTTCAGAAATCGGGAAGAAGGTATTAATTAGTAAATTATATTCCATGATTACTGCTATTAGTAATATGCGTATTAAAATATGAAATTTTTTATTATGAAGTAATTTATACTATTCCCCACTTATTCACTGAGTTACATTAAGTGTAATAAGTATATATTAGATGATAGTATCAAGTTGTATAGATTATTTAATTAGTCCTAAGTGGTAGGGGTTAAAGAGATTAGTAAATATTTAACACTTTAAAACTATACAGTGCGGTGGTCCTAAGTAATATTTGAGAAGCTTAAGCAAAGCTTTTACTTGGTCATTATGAAGAGATTAGATTACAACAAATGTTTGCTGCCTTTACAATTGCAGAGGAAAGAGGGTACTTTTTTATTAGTAGGCCAAAAACCTCTGAGTTACAACAAAATACTACCAGACCATTCTTCAAAAAATGAGGAGCCTATGAACAAAATGACTCCCATAATCAGAGTGGTAATTAAAGAAATTAGCCTTATCATATCTACTTCTAAAATTTGGTAATTGCCATTTATCAAGTTGGAAGGGTCCCTTTGCTCCACCAGGTAGCTGCTGGAAGCTGTCAAAGAAATTAGCATTCTCCAATGTTGTAGCATGCTTCGCCAAGGCATCAGCTACTTGATTTGCTTCCCTGTAGCAATGTGAAATCTTTACTCGATCTTGATCACATTTGTGTTGTATCTTCAATGATCTTCCTCATCTTAGCATTATGTGTTTTCTTGTTTTGCAACATATCCACAATTAGCATAGAATCTAATTGTAGCTCAAAAGTATTAACACCTTGGCTCAGACATAACTGTATTCCAGCTTTTGCTGCCAAGGCACGTGGATGCTACATTGTACATGTATGGAGAATGCCGCGATGAGATCTCCAGCTGCATTTCTTAAAATACCACCTATTCCTGCTTTGCGTTTTCCTTCCATGTAGCTTCCATCATTGTTCATTTTGACATTCCCTTGTTCTGGAAGCTTCCAAATTAGAGGGAATTATTTTTGAATATGTTTGAGATTCTCGATGTCTTCACAGAGTTTAACCCAAGGCCACGTTAGTTCACAATTGAGAAATGTAATCCCCAAAGCTGCTTTGATATTCCAGTAAATATTATGTTCCATGTCACTATATAAAAACTTCTTCCGGAGTCCCATATCTACAGGCGCACCAACTTTTCCACAATTCCCATATAATTACAATAGGAGTAATATGTAAAAGGTATTTGTGAACATCATTTTTTGGCCTAACACCCCACCATTGAGCTGTTAAGCTTCTAATAGTGTTCCCTTGACCATTAACTCTTAATGGATTACCAAACTTTCTCCAAAGGTAAACAACATGCTGACTTTCTACAAATGTATGTTGTATAGTCTCACATTCGGGAACTAAACAACATGCACACCTTGAGACCATTTGGTTTCCAAATCTGATCAACATTTAGGAAAAGGAAGCTTTTTCTGAAATAATATCCAAGCTAAGAATGAGATCTTAGTGGGGATATTCCTGTTCTACACCTTTGAGAGTATGAAGTTTATAGGTCTCCTTCTTCTAGTGATCTGCCAAGCTGAGGCATTGGTGAAATTTGTTGAGGTTTTATTTTTAAGATGTAATATTCTTAAAATGAGGGTGAATGGGAAATGGAG